GATGGATAGGATGATGGGGAGGGGGTGGAGTAGGAGATGGATAGGATGATGGGGAGGGTGCGGCGCAGGAGATGGATAGGATGAAGGGGAGGGGGTAGAGTAGGTAATGGATGGGATGATGGGGAGGAGGTGGATTAGAAAATGGATAGGATGATGGGCAGAACTCTACAGGCACCCAATACTTAAGAGGAATTTTAATTATGCACCATTTGTTAAACTCACAGATGCACTACTTACATGTATATAATCATCCAGGTCTAGTCTGACTGTACTAGCTGGACCCACATTTTATAGGCATTCCTCTCTCCTGTAAAGAACTGTGAAGCCTTTGTACCTGTATCTCCCTTGGTGGCAGTCTTTGTTGATTTACTTTTAAATGACAGGCGCCTTTCAAAACACAGTCTGCACACAGCACCGATTAGGTTTTTTTCCTAGAGTACAATGAATTGTATTGCTAAGGTCGATAAAAAGCTTGTACATGTACATCTGTATTGCAGTCGTCTGTCAACCAATCTTGTAAAAAATTTTGATGAAGTTTTGTTAGTATTTACTTGTTTGATTTAGTTACCATATTTGTATAACTTGGATGTCTCTTTCCTGTAATCACAAAAAGAAATTCAAATTCATAACAAGCAGCGAGCCATGGTGGCTTTGCCATTCTAGTTTTCCCAGTCTGCCCATGTGTACAATTATAGCTGTCTCAAGAGTCTTCAACTTAATTTTGCCTTCTTTTGGATTCATTTGAGTCTGAGAATAAACTAGAAATAATGATGGGTTTTTATCAAAATGCATCCTCTAAACAAAATCTTTGATTAAAATTGACAGTGTCACTTGTAATATCATGTGCAGGCTGTCAGGGGCCAGGGTACCACAAGTACCATACGTTGCCCCTCAGAGAGGGGGTAATGCACTAATTGAAATCCTCATTAAACAAACAATTAGAATCAGACCTCAAGACTTTCACAAAACAATAGCAACTCCTTACACTTTGGTATAGGAGACCCACAAGCCAGTAGTCATGGTAGTACTTCTAGTATCTTTGATTCTTGCAGTGACTTGTATCCATTGCATTGCAATGCCGTGGATGCGATGGAGTTCCTAGTGAAGTGTTCTTTTTTGTAGATGTCCTCTGTCCAACAGACAAAGACCTGGTTGATTTAATGGAGTACTTGATGCAGAGATGGTTGAATGATTTACTGTGGAGTTCCTAGTGAAAGTGTTCCTTTTTGTAGATGTCTTATGTCCAACAGACAAAGACCTGGTTGATTTAATACAGTACTTGAGATGGTTGAATGATTTACTGTGGAGTAGGGTTGATAAACAGATTTTTAAAATCTAAATCAGATTGTTTCCTGTCATTGAGAGAGCCCTATTTTCTGCTGACATGGCTGAAGCAATACAATGGTGGAGCAGCTGAACTATTACAGTTTTTGCCAAAGATCAATAACCTACATGTAAGCACTTTGCACTCCAGGACAAATTTTAAAAATATGTTACAGTTGGGGATTTGTATTGAAGTTCATTGAGCCAGCCAATGAAGGATTGTCCTAAAAAGGTTGGGGAGGGGCTCCTAACAACTTTTTTGATATTGCCACTGCATTTTTTTCAGGAACTGAGCCTTCAGTAGTTTTTAGAGTAAACTGAGAATTCATTTGACACAAATTTTGTGAAAATCGAACATACCGTTCTTGCGCAGTGCCTATTTTTGCGAGACAGTTCAGCCAAAATCGTACATACATGTACTGGTACTACAATAGTATGTATTTTCACAAGCATTTTGAAGGAAAGGAAATGAAATGGACAAAAAAAATCTCCATTCTCTCATTAAAAAAAAACACACAAAAATTCTTGTCCTTTTATGCCCTCTTGCCTCCCATGATCCACCCTGTAATTGATTTGTCCCATTCCAACTTGATTGTTTTTTCTTTGTATAAGTTTTGGTTTGCTACCATGTGTTATTGCCAGATGAACTTTGTGATATTTCCACTCGTAACAAACACAATCTGGCTATACTTGGGCACAGCTTGATTAAAAAAGGTCAAGTGCCTCAACTCATCTCGGTGTCCTTGCTGTGGCTGCAAATATGTACATGTAGCTCCTCCATGTTTATATTTGAGGCCGTGGTAAGATGTATTGTACAGAAATGACTCTTGGGAGAAGTACTGTTGTAGTCTTATTTGGTTGTGCAGGTGTATCAAACATTTACTACGGCACTCTACCCTACCTTTTCTGAAAGTCAGAATTTCTGGCTGAAAATAATCCCAATAGTGGTTAAGAGCACAAAATCAGAGTGGAATTGCTCATAATCCTCGTCTTGTTTAGTGAAGATTTGAGAGATACGTTGTAGTGCTACTTCACTGATTTGTAAGAATCAGGTTAATGTACATGTACTGTATCTGATTCCCATTGGATGTTTGCATGTACCATAATACATGTACATGTATTACACATGAACAATGTTTATGCATGCCACTAGCCTCAATCTACGTGTACAGTGTACATACATGCACATATCAGTAAATGTTCCATACATGTACATGTACATGTATGTAGTGTGTATGTACTTGTCCCTTACTGTTCAATTTTCTTTGTTTCAGGTGTATTTGTGTGGGATTGCGAAGGCAAACGCTACTATGATTTTCTGAGTGCATACAGTGCTGTTAACCAGGGCCACTGTCATCCCAAGATTGTGGATGCACTCCAGGAACAAGCAGCAGTTCTTACTCTAACATCACGTGCTTTCTATGCGGAATTGCTAGGGCAGTATGAGCAGTACATTACAACATTGTTTGGTTATGACAAGGTGCTGCCCATGAACACAGGTTTGTTATTTTCTCAGTGGATTTAATACAGTGTACCCGAGGTCATCTCTCATTTTTGTCATTTGGGTGTCATGTCTGTGAACAATAAGACAAGCTCAACATCAAGGACAATGAACACCAATATTTCCTCTATCATTGGGTTGGCATTTCAAGACTGTTACGGCTGTTAGGATTGATTTGTTTGAGCGATTTTTGAAAATGAAAGGTCTTTTCATTGTAACTTCGGTCTGATTAGATTATCTGCCTGAGTGAAGTTTCACACGTGTGGTACATGTACATGTAGGCATGAAGGTCATTGTACATTTAGATCAGCCAATATTCAAGTGATTCTGGCAAAGTTCACCGCAGACATCAACTCTTAATACATTTCTCTCAACCTGTCACCAGAGGGTGCTTGAGTATTTCATGATGTCACCGGTCAGAGTTTTGAGGAACAGTAATTGACCCCAGACTTAAAATACAATTGAAAGCAAATTTCTATTTTACCATTTTAAATAATAAGCACCTCTGGTTTCAACCAGAAGCAAGGGTCGGGTTAGGTGACTACTGGTGTGACAAAAAATGAAGACCTACATGTACATGTAATTACTCTATCGCTTGCTGCAAAAAGGAGGTCCTTGGAACTCTTGATGGATTTTGTATATACCCGGTATATGGATTTGTAAAAATTACGATGATCAAACTTCAGTTACTTGTAATTTCAGACCTAAGGATATCGTTATTATTATGTCATTGTTATGGAAAAATGCATTGCAGTCCTTGTTTGGCCAAATTTAAGGAAGATTTAAGATTGATAAGTGACCAAAGAGGCACCTTGGAAACTGTGCATAAAGTCACTGTGTTCAAGTGAATATTCAAAATGTTATAATAAATCATGGGATGTCATAATAACCTGTGTGTCTGTCTTTACCAAGGACCTTTGCCGTTTGTTCTTTGACTGTGTTTAGATTCAGTTTTGTATGACTTTGATTTTATGCCAGGAGTAGCTTACTGATGAAATTTGGGATATAAGACCAAAGCAGGGAAAAAACAGGCACAAAAGTACAAAAACAAAACACCCTACTTACAGGTATTAATAATTGAGAACACCAAATGACAGAGAATTGTGAGTCAGTGGATGGTCATTTTGCTTTGGAATTCTTGTGTAGATGTATTCACTAACATATCCACAAATAACACACTGGTTTCTGCATATTATCATACTTGATAGGAGTAGAGGCAGGTGAAACTGCATGCAAATTAGCAAGGAAGTGGGGTTACTCAGTGAAAGGAGTTCCCCCCAATCAGGCCAAGATCATCTTTGCTGAAGGTAACTTCTGGGGTCGTACATTGGCTGCAATTTCATCTTCTACAGATCCTAGCAGCTACGAAGGTTTTGGTCCTTACATGCCAGGATTTGAGATCATTCCATATAATGACTTGGGAGCACTAGAGGTATGGTATGGTATTAGCCTCTCTATAAACTTTTCATCTTTAGATTGGCTTAATATTTTATTTGAATCTTTCAGCCAAATTAATTTAATGCCTCTGTGTCTGGTTACCTTCGTCATAGCAAATACATGTACCGGGGTAGTGCTAATAATAATCAATGGAAGGAGAGAAATTCAAATGTCGTCCCAAAGTCTTACATTTTTCCCCCGTTTGTTGAGGTTTCTATTTGTTTGCATATTTTGGCACTTGCGCACATATTATATTATATGGTTGGCAAGTGTGGCCGCCAACACTGTGGGTAGAGCAGGAGAGGTGCTCTAGCCATAACCTGGTGCGTTGAAGGTCAATCAAAGCTGCATTAGAGCCTTCGTCCAATAATTCAGCCGGGTTTTCTTGAAACTAAGTGAAGTTTTCAATGCCCTGAGGTTGAAAAGTAACAGTTCCTTTGCCTTTAAGTTTGGCACTCATGTCAAACTATATTAGTACAGAAACGGCGTGTATGAGCTCATAGTTGCACCCGCATGGAGATTTATATTGTTACATCATAGATTTAAGCAACTTTGCCAACCAGTGGTAGTACTGCGCATGCGCCTGCCTTATTTGCATATTTCATGGGAAAGGTCCATTGTGATAGTCAACAAATGGCATTAAAACACATTTACCATCAGGATCCTTTCTGCTGGTAATTTGTTTAACTGCCATCATGTCATTTGTGAAGAGAAATGAACCAGAATCAAACCAAACTCTGTATACCCGATACCCAACAGTCTACTTTTAAATATACATATGTAAGTGTAGAAGGAAAAGCATCAGAATAAAGCTGATATTGTCAAGATGTCTCTTGTTTTCTCACTTTTTTCACCTTTTATTTATTTCAGAAATCGTTAGAGGATCCCAATGTGGTTGCCTTTATGGTAGAACCAATTCAGGGTGAGGCAGGTGTGGTTGTGCCAGATCCTGGCTATCTGCGTGGTGTAAAAGAGCTGTGCACCAGGAACAATGTTAGTATGCATGTGTATGCCAATACGGCCGTTTCACAAAAGTGCGCCACTAAGAGTTTGCAACGCATTGGCCAATCACAATGCGCAAAATTTGTCGACCCAGTGCGTGTTTGGAAAGGGTCGACAAATTTTGCGCGTTATGATTGGCCAACGTATTGCAAACTCTTGGTGGCGCACTATTGTGAATCCCCGTATTACATGTCATCACTGAAATGTAAATTGTACCCACAGCAGTGTCAGTGATATTGAACAAGCACATGTACCTGTAGGTCAATTGGGCTAGCCATGCTATAAATTTGCTTGCCCAAACTGGATCAACACTTGCCCAAGATTTCTCAGAATCCACGATTATAATGGTTATTTAACTTAAGCCTACTGCACGCACACCGTCTTTAATTAGGCCCCCCAAATATTTGTGCTTCTGGTTACATGCCTCTCATAAATAGGTTTGGTTGGTTGGAAATTTTTTTCATGTCAATTTTTTTTGTGCTGATTCAATGGCATGAATGGGGACGACAGCTTCCAAAATTATCTCAAAAAGTAATGAAAACCTGTCATAATCTATGTAAAAATTTCTACAGTCCACAATTCACAAGAATTATGGACAATTCACCCAGTGCTACTCAGACAGTTCGGACAACAAACAGGCCAACAATGTCCGTGTGTCGCGTGGTAAGCATGTGTGATGCATTCAGACCGGCAGGTGATAAACATTGTGCTGCGGCAGGAAATTGTCGAAACACGCTCACTTCAAGTACGAGCAAAACAACCTCAAATTAAACTCATGAACACAGAAAATACATACACAGACAAGAGACCAAGTTCTGTGAATTAACTTGCAGAAATCCTATCGATGTTTTTTCGAACTGCAGCTTTAGGGTTGCGTGCGTGTACAGCCGATGTAGAGTAATCAACTGGAACATACAGTACATGTACATGTATAGACTGGTTGCCACATTTCCACCATGCTTTCTTTTGCATGGGCAAGGTGCGGTGGGAACCAGCGCAGTTTCGTTTAATGCATTGAGCTTTGTTCACCACCCCAACAGCAAAACGCAAATGTGAACTCGGAAGTTACTTTACAAAAATTGCAAATGTAAGTAGGAAAACAGGAAAACAAGTGTTGTAACATGAGAAAAGGTCGTTAAAAGGCTGTTGCATTTTGTGAAGACAGAAAAGACATTAGGATTTGTTTTTTATGTATTTGTTTGTTTTTTAATTTGTTTTTGTAACTTGCCGATAAAAATTTAGGGTTGCACTGAAAAATGAGGGTTGGCCTGAAACCCCAGTCAGCTGAGAGAAAATGGTGTGAATTGGCAGATGCATCTATTGGAATGTCGTACACATGCATGGGGTATTATGGGATAAAGTTGGCACTTACGACTGAAACATGACTGGAATACTTTTGCTCTTTTTTATCATATTGGAATTATAATTGATGTTCAAAGTTAAGCTTTAGCACATAAAGCAATTAGTTTACTAATAGAGGTAAGCTTTTACAAATTTGTTCAAATAGGCACAGACAGTTTGAATTTTAATTACCCAAATAAAAATTTGATAGCCCCGGGCTATCAAACAGGCGATTCGTCGCGGCCTGTAGATCAGCATGTATTCTATTTTTCTTTCAATTCCAATGTGTGATAAAATTTAATCTGACTTATTCTTGAAGTCCAGCTTTCCCATTACTGAATAAATCAACAGGAATAATAAAACCAATTTATTAAGAGAATTGCACCTGTTCATTGGTCTGTTGTTTTGTTTTTATATATAAGGTGTTGATGATTGCTGATGAAGTTCAGACAGGACTTTGCAGAACTGGTAAAAGGCTGTGTGCAGACCATGAAAATGTCCGTCCAGATCTGGTGCTGCTTGGCAAGGCTCTATCAGGTGGTGTATTCCCGGTGAGTAACAGGTTATTTCCAAAGAACTTTCTAATCCGGGCTCTGTCTATCCTATCCAATCACCTACTGGTTGTCAGGTGACAAACTTGGATTTTGATGAAACATTTTTGAATACCTCAAAGACATCATATGAGCAGAGGAAACATTGAGTCATTTTTGAGAAATGATCCTCTGTAAAATCCAGACTCTTAAAAGCTTGTTTGAGATTGACATGGCACAGAAAGACTCACCAGTCCCTTTAACTTCCGTGGTGTTACCGGTTGTCTTCTTTCTTCAGTCATCACAACTTAAATAATTTGCAAGAAAGAAACATTTACATTGTGACATTTGTGATAATGACATAATTGAGTTTGATACAGAGATTTTTTTTACACGTATGTTGGTGTCCGCCTCGTTTGTTTGGAAAAGCCGATTTTGCTAAGGAGCAAAACCACACTTACAAAACTGATAAGGTAATACAAAACCCCAATCAGCAACTCCTTTGCATCGAAACAATTGGCAAACAACAGACGTGGCTACAGGTGACGCCTGTAAACGCTATGGACCTTTTGTATATGAACCGGTTGACATGCGTACACATGCCACAGTTTTTACCAGGGCAGTTGAAAAATGGGGAAACCTGAACTACTAATGCCTAAACTCAAGAGCTTTGGCTCCCTATGTACAGGTATTTCATGGGCGACGACTTCTACAGAACCAGGGAACAGAAATCATATCAGTCTCTAGGTTTTGATTTTGGACAATGCTTTGTTCATCAGCACATTTTGACAGAATTAGGTACCAGAGAAGCACATGTATTTCATTCATGCTGATTTTGTTCTGTAATGAATCAGGTTTCTGCTGTACTAGCCGATGATGAAATAATGCTGTCCATCAAACCAGGAGAACATGGCTCAACATATGGCGGTTGCCCAATAGCATGCAAGGTGGCTTTAGCTGCACTTGAGGTAAATATAGTTTTTTACTTACTTGGTACTCATCATTCTGAAGTACCTTTACTGGAGGGTATTTTGTATGTCACTATTATGTTCTATGTTCATAAATATCAAAAAGAGTACGAACACTCTGGCCTAGAAACCCAGACATGTCAACCCTCCAAATGTGGTCACATGCTGTATTCTCTGGGATTTGGGAAATATAATTTTGTGAAAAACAATGTTAGAGTTGAGTCCACGACCTCCAAGACCGAGCCACTACTATTCAAGAGTGAGGCCAAGGCCACAGTGTCCAAGGCCAAGGCCAGTTATTACAATGTGTATGTTACATAACTTTACACAATTAAAGATTGATTTCTCTCTAAAATATTTTTTAGTGCTAGTGGCTGGCTTATAAATTTTATCTAAATTTTAAAAAAGATTTATAAGGCACATAACAATATTTATCTTCTTGTTTTGACTAAAAAAAGGAAAGCAAGTGCTATATTCCATTAATAAGCTACTTTCAATATACCGGTACATTATGATACTGGTAAACAAATTTGAATAGACATACATGTAATCATCTCTTGCTTGTCAGAGGTCAAAAAGCTTCATTTAATATATTCCTTGTAACAAAGTAAGAGGATAAGTTTATCCCTCACCACTACAAAAGAGAAAAACTGTAATAGCTAAAATGCATTCAATACATTAATACAGTACAGGCAATGTACAATAGTCGATGTTGACGTTGACCAATCACAATGCGCGAAATCTGTCGACCCTTTCCAAACGTGCTTTAGGTGGACAGATTTCAGACTGATTGGTCTGGCTGTCTGTCTGTCCTAGCTCAATGACTATAATGAATCATGCTTTAAACTCTTGATTACTCACTAGTTTTAACAATACATATGGCATTATGGACCAATTGTTTGCAGTAACAACTCGTCACAGGATCATCTTATTGATGCAAAAATCAACGGGCATTTGGAGCAAAAATTGTTCCAAAATTTGGGACAATGTTGGCTTTCTTCTCAATAGGGGCGGCATGGCAAACAGTGCTCAACAAAACTCCCCAAAACATGGTTGCCCCTTGGCAACTCAGTGCTTTCATGAAAAGTGGTTGCTGAGTGAGTGTTTCAGCTTGGTAGCCCAGACGTGCACACACAATGGTTGAAGCCTTTTAATGTGCGTGTTAAAACACTAAGTTTTTGAAGACTACTAACTGCCTGTATATTCATGCACTTGAACTCATTGACGATGCTAATGTGGTAAACATTTGCACCATTTTATTAAGAAACACAAGGCTATATTATCATACGGTCCATTTTCCCAACTTTCTGATACTGTAGTTTAAATCTATTCCGGATAACAACTTTAAACAAGTGGGTGAACAGCAAAGTTTCTTCATGCAAAACAAATACATGTGTGGATGAATGAGCACAGGAATGGACAGACCTACTTGAGATATAAGCTAGAGTGATACAGTGAAAGGTGTTTTCCTCTTGATGATGTCAAGAAGGACTGCTTGCTTAGACTCTGTTAGTTTTGAATCAACCCGAAGTAAAATATAGCATATGGCAAGAGAAGCATTACAATAATAAATATTGTAATAGAAAAAGGAACAGTTATTTGATGGACAAGCAGTGGTATGATGGATGTGATGTTCATACATGTAAATGTACTGCACTTCTTTGTGTCTTTGTGCATATAGGTCTTGGAGGAAGAGAACCTTGCTGAGCATTCTGAGCGTTTAGGGGTCATCCTGAGAGAAGAACTCAACAAACTGGATAAAGACATAGTAACCTTGGTTAGAGGCAAAGGACTTCTCAATGCTATTGTCATACAGAGAACTGAAGGTAAATGTAGCTATCAAAACCTAATCTTTCTTCGTACATGTTGTTGAGAGGTTGGCAAAAGAGGGGATTACATTGCATGGACAGGTAAACTTGAATTACCTACATACACGCTTGTAATCAGCCATATACATGTACATATAGCCCCATTGCCAGCTTCAGGTATAAGGAGAAGACCACAGTACCAGTTGATGAGGGAATGGGAAGCTACAGGCCAGGGGCCTGGCAGTCTAGCCCTCCCTTCTTTGGTGATGGGCCCAGGAACACTCCTGGTAAGTGGGTAGATATGTGAATAAAATGGACATTTTAAAATCTTCAATATACATGTAAGATGGTTTTAAGATGTCTTGTTGCTTTGTTGGCTGATTAAAGGGAACAAATCAGTCAAGCTGCATCCATTAGGATAAAGGATAAAGTTATTTCTTGATATTTGGCTATTCGATAGTTCAGATGACTGGATTTAAATTTGCCTGTTCTATTTTTTGCCAAACATTTTGTTTTGGTATCGCCAGTAATGGTTCTGATGATCCTGTTGAGCCAAAAATTGTTTTACCAGAGAATTGGTGGAGAATCTGAAGGAGAACTTGGCGGAGATAATTTTTCCTTTGAATGTGTGTTGTAGGGGACAAGGTTGAAGGTTACTCGTTTTGGGCAGGTTTCAGAAGCTGTTGTGCAGGAGTAGTGCTGGACTGGACATTCTGTGGTCCAAAGGGGCATATGGACAGAAAATACATGTAATGCCATGTTGGTATCATCTCCACAGGATTCATGCTTTTGTTAGTATTTTCTCAACTGTCTGAAAGCTTTCTTGACATGCCCTCTTTATGAAATATTAAAAAAGTAATACTGGTAAAAAAGTGTTGTTTCTGAAACTTCACATTCCAGATAACATCTGAAGTCACTTGCAGCTGTCAGTTGTATAGGGAATACTGTGTTTAACAAAAACCAGCTTGATGCCACTGATACGTCTAGGATGTATGGGACAGGAAGCTGTCTGCTGAATGGAAACTTTGAATAGTACATTATTTGTCCAGATTTGTCCAGTATTTGTCATTCTTTGAAGGAGATCAAAGCTGTGCCCATGACTTGGCAAGGTTGTGTTGAACAGGGTGTTGAAAGTGTTTGTGGTTGTGCTGTCTGTTTATTTACACAAAGGGCAATTTTTGACCCAAAACTCAGTGTCTTGCATAATGCTACTGTAGTCCATTTGGCATACGTGTACATGTATTTCTCTTTGCCACCTTGTTGTAATTAGGGTTGCATGAACCTGGCACTTTAGTTTGAGCTGTCATATTGTACAGGGAGCAAGGGTGGGGTGTATGGCAGCAAAATATCTTTCTCAGGTTGGCATATGACTTTGACATCTTAAGGGTTTAAGCAAAGGAGTTTTGAAATCTTTGCATCATTTCCAGGGGCTTGTGGTTACCTTTTTTGATGATTGAAACTACATGTATCTTCTGTCAGCTGGTCAGCTCAGTTGTGCATCTGATCATGCACAGGATTCTACTGTTTGTTCCTGTAATTTTATATATTGAGGGCTTTTGATGGTGACTTGATAAATTATTAAAAATTGAAGTCTTACTTGCAAGGCATCAGTAGCCAATATGGTTCATAGATTCATACATTGGTCTGTGAAGATGACCATGTAGACCATGTCTGCATAGAGGAAGGCTACAAAAGCTTGCTTGGCTGGATCATTACAATGAAAAATTCAAGTCTAAATTTAAATTCAAATTTATGATGTCCACATCATAAAAATATGAATAATTGTGTTCCATTTAGCAATTTAGTCACAAAAATCTTACATTAAAAACAACACAAAACATAAGACATATTAACCA